CTTGTAACACCTGTAATCCTCCATCAAAATTTGTTTTGCAAGTGCCGTAAAACTCTACCACTAAAACTAAACAACTAAACTCGAATTTGATACTTTGAACGGAAACAGACCAAATTTTAAAACATTATGAAATATTTGTTTGTTTGTTTGTTTGTTTGTGCAAATCGAATCTTTTATTTTTTTTCCAGGCGTTATGTCCTGCGTCTTCATGAGGCGGAAGACATGGGCGATCTGGGAGGTGTCAGCCTGAAACTTATTGTTCTTTTAGGCCTGGCTTGGCTCATTCTTTTCTACAGCTTGAGGAAAGGTGTGGAAACTTCTGGAAAGGTGAGCAGACGCGTCATTCACAGTCTCTTTGTTCATTTTATTTTTGTTTGTTTGTTAGTTTGTTTGTTTCTTTTTTTGTTCTTTATTTTTGTCTCTGATTTTTCGATGTGGTTCTGAAAGTGGAATGACTCCTGAGTTTATCGAGTACTTCTGTCTGTGGCTCTTAGTCTTGTTTTCTTTAGTTGATCTATTTATTTATATGTGAGGCAGCGTGGTGGAATCAGGCTCTCGTCAAAATAATGGAATCGAAGAAAACACCAGTTTTTTCCCTGCTTAGCAATTTTTATCAAATTTTTGTTTTTTGGCTCAACACCTTTAATGTCCAATTACAAACACATTCCTTTGAGGATTTCACCGAAAACGTTAATTAAAGGCATAAAAATATAAATTTTCAGTTTCCATAGACTCTCCAGCTTTGGAATTTACCAAGCTTTAGCGGCCATTTTCTCCTTAGTTTTACCTCTTAAATCAGATGACCCCCCACCTCCTTCAATCCAAAATATCTCCACTTCTATTGAAGATGGATGGGTAATTTTTTCATTGAAAGCAAGACATATAAACAAGCTTTAAGATGATATCAATAACTCAATATACCCAAAAATTGACGAGAGCCTGATTCCACCACGCTGCCTCACATGTATATATTCCGCCCCTTCCCCTCCCCCGCTCCCCAACCCCTTTCCCAGCCTGCTCGAAGTAAAAGTTGAAGTTAACACATTATGCAAAGTCACATTAATCCTACCACGACTTAGTAATTTCAAACTTTAAAATAATGGAATGGTCTTAATCTTAACTTGATTTATTGTAATACAGTTTCTGAAAAACTTTTTCTTTTGGACTGATTTCATAGAGATATTCTACAGGTACTGTTGTAAGTTAAGAGCCTGTACCTTGATATTATCTTAAAAGCATCAACGTATAACTACTTCAACTTGCTTTTTCAATTAACTTCGCCCACCCGGGTAAAATTCAAAGTCCCTACTTTAGTCGAAATAAAGACATAATAGAGTACCTTCGAAATCGGGAATTTGGCTAACTGGTGACAAGGGGCCCTCCGAAGTGGGGAAAAGGTCACATACATACAAATCAGTTGCGCTGCAGGTTTAAGAGCCAGCAGTCAATTATCCCTGAGATCTAACAGGGGAGCGAAAAGAAAAAGGAAGAAGAAAAAAGTGGGTGGTTGACGGGTGCTCTGGCTTGGTTTACTCCTTCTTTCCTACCAAACGACTATCGCCTTTATCTCTCCTCCTTCTTTTTATGTTAGTTACTCTCTTGCAACACCTCTAATCGTCGGCATTTATATGACCTAATTATGTTGCAAGTGCCTTAAAACGGTTACTAAAACAAACAGAAGAAGAATACTAAACTTGTTCAGCTGTTCTCAGTCCCACCCTGTTCTCCCCACCAGATCGTTTACTTCATGGCTACCTTCCCTTACGTGATTCTGGTGGCCCTGTTGATCAGAGGCGTCACCCTGGAGGGCTATATGGACGGCATCAACTTCTACATTATTCCAAAGTGGGAGGAGCTAGCTAATATCAACGTGAGTACCGTATGTGTGTGTGTGTGTGGGGGGGGTATGTGTGTGTGTGTGT